AAAAATTTTCAGGGGTATTTTGGTCAATTTATTTTATGTAAAATATTTTTTTGATATTTTTTGAAGATTCACGTATTTTTGATGAACACACGCCTAAAATTTTAAGAGATTTGGATTTGTAGAAAAAAAAAACTATAATTTAAACACTACCGGACATCTGTGATGATAAGATCGACCCATAATCAATCTAGGATGTTCGGCTCATATGTTCATATGAGCTTGTGGGCTAATCTCATCTTTTTCCAGAATATGAGATTAGCCCACTAGCTCATATAAACATATGAGTCCAACGTCCCAGATTGATTCTGGGTCGATCTGATGATCACAGATGTCCGGTAGTGTTTGAATTATAGTTTTTTTTCTACAAATCCAAATCACTTGAAATTTTATGCGTGTGTTCTTCTCATCAAGGCGCACTTAATAAAAATATAAAAAAAATTATTCGAGAAGAAAAAAATGATTAAAATACCTCCAAAATTTTTCAGGGGTATTTTGATTAATTTATTTCATGTAAAATATTTTCTTGATACATTTCGAAGATTCAGTTATTTTTGATGAATACACGCCTAAAATTTCAAGTGGTTTGGATTTGTAAAAAAAAAACTAAAATTCAAATACTATTAGACCGAGTTGATTGCCTTTGACGAAGCCGATGTTTCGAACCTTAGATGTAGTACATCATGCAGCTTGTGACGACTGAGGATAGTTCCAAATGTTGGGGCAAAGCTAGCGGTTTTAACTCGATTCATAAATTTATTTATTTATTTATTTTTTTATTTTTTTTTCAAGCGGTAGTCTAGGCAAAAGTACGGATTTTCGAAAATGTCAAAGAATCGGTTTTTAAAAAATAAATAAGGGAAGAACAATTAGAAATATAAAATATATTTTTAAAGCCAAAAGATTTCATATTCCTGCAATATTGTACTATCCATCTATTTCATCGGGCAAAACTTATATTAGGTGTATTTTTTAAATCCCAAACTTTGGGAATATGATTTCTAGAAAGAAACCAACCTCAAAGGGTAAAACATAACTCCCACTCTCATTCGCCTAAAAAAAAAAGAAAATCATCTCAAGATTGCACTAAAACCATCCAATTTTTTTAAGGAATGATCTAGATGTTCAAGAATTTAAAATCCAAATCTGTTTTTTTTTAAAAAACCATCTAGTTAATTACATGGATCCCAAATTTTCAAATAAAAAAGTACTCTCAATTATTTTGCCTGAGGGAGTAAATGTATAGTATGCTCCCAAAAGAGCATAATATACGTGCTCTATTCTAAAATAAGTTGTGATGTCTAAGTTAGCAATCATATAGAAGTTGGGGAATAACAATATATCGAAAATTAAAACATAAGTAGTAAATTAGATTTGCTCCAAAAAGTTAGAGGCAAAAAATCAGGTCAAAATGCACATTAAGTTGGTTAAGTTACAGAATCGTAGAGCAATAAAAATGGATATGTAAAAAAAAGCATTATAAGATTATGCGTTTCAGCCATTATATGGATACATTAAAGTTATTAAACTATAACTTTTATGTCCTTACTTAGTATCTTTACAATCATACTTGACAAATTTTTGTTGAAACTTTCAATAAATACAACATTTGCTTACTTTGTTGTCACATCATGAAACATACAATAGATTTATTGGGAGCATATAAGAAAACAATAATACTAAAAATATCCTTCAGTATGGGATTGTAATTAACTAAAACACTAAAACCCAAAAATATAAAATAGTGGTCCATCCAAATTACTATCTTTTACACAATAATGAAATAAAAAAATTGAAAATATGGAATTAATCAAACTTCTATAGGAATAAAAAAAGCAATAAAATTCTTAAGTAACAATTAGTCAAACTTTTATATGTAGAAAGGATTCAACAAAATGCTTAGAAAAATCCAAATATTTGAAGCTGACCCTGAACTCTTAGCTGCCTAAATCTTCAGTTGTCATTGAATCTCTCTTGTTGTTTATAATGACCCTCTGCGTTTTGAGGAAAAAATATTTTTTTATTGAGTTACTCTTCGTCTAACTTTAATTATTATTTTGAGATACATGGTTATTTTGATTATTACTCTTCCTCTAACTTGAGAAAGCTTTTGCGAGATGTAACATGATCTTGGAATTGATCCTGTGATACTGGAGGGCTCTGACAGAGATGAGAGGCACGTCCCTTGCAACTCATAATGAAGAATAAGAGAGAGAAAGAGAGCTCATGCTTGGTACCCCAGCCTACAAAAACTATTTCCATAAATATACCTACAAAAGGGAAAAATAGAGAGACACATGTAGAGAGAATTGACAAATGTTGCCTATCAATGGCCACTTGTCCATCTTTTCAGATGATTCTTTCTTATTCTCTACACAAAGCACTAGCTTATTTTTAAATACATTTAAGTTGGGTAGAAAAAAAAAAAAAATTAAAATTTGGGACCTTATTTTGTAAATGTTTGGAAATACAATTTAGCCAAAGAAATGTCCTATAAGTTCTCGTTATGTTGTCGTTGGGCCCTCCATTTAATATAAGTGAGCTTTATTCCCAACACATAAAACGTTTGGTGAATGGCTTGAAATGGTTC